ATACTTGTAAACCTTATAAAATACATTGTAAAACCTTATAAATACGTTGTAAAACCCTTTAAAAATACATTGTAAAACCTTATAAATACCCTGTAAAAAACCTTTAAAATACCTTGTAAATTTTTCCCGCCAAAAAATTTCCCGCCAAAAATTTAACGCCAAAAAAATTGCGGAATCACTTTTCCCGCAAAAAAACATTTTTTGGCGGGAAAAAATTTTACGGGAAAATTTTACAAGGTATTTTAAAGGTTTTTACAAGTGTTTTGGCGGGAAAATTGCGGGATCACTTTTCTCGCCAAAAAATATTTTGTATTTTGTGGACCTAATTTTGTTATATTTCTTCATATATTTGTGATATATTTTATTAAAAGAAGGATAATTTAGTCATTTTGTACATAAAAAGGGGTATTTTTAAAAATGGACAGCCAAATGGGGCATTTTTGAAAGAGAAAACTAACGTTTCTACCATACACAGTACATGCTCTTAGCAAAAATACCACTTTTCTCATTTCTCTTCTTCTATACCACTTTCTGTAAATGGAAAAGTCCATTTTGCCCTCCACACAAACAAAAGTGATTTTTTTTTTATTAATTCATTTTCTTCTTTTCTTCTTTCGTTGCTATCTTCTTCCTCCATCTTCTCTTTCACACTCTTCAATATATGTCCAACTCAAATCTAGAATAACGGAAAAGAAGATAAGAGATGTGGTTCCGTTGACTACGATGTCACCGGCGGAGCTCCTTAACGTCGCCGCCGTGATATGGTTTAATTGACTACGATATCACCGTCAAATTTCGTCAACGCCGTTGTCGCTATTAGTAAGTCAAGATCTTCTCGTTGTCTTCTTCCACTTCGTTACATCCTAAGATCTAGTAATCTTTCATTGGAAAACTTAGATCTTTGAATTTTGATGTTTTCATGAATATATTGTATCTTTGAATTCGTGGACCAATTGTTAACAATGATGCTCTAATTTTGTCTATAGGTGGAAAAGATGAATTCTAGGAATAGGATCGTCGACAGAAGGGCTGGAATTTTTAGTTTAAATGGACAAAATTAAGATAAGATGACTTAGGTAGTATGTGACTAGTCAAAATTGTATGTTTTTTTTGTCCATTATATTTTTTGGTCCACGCATCATATATGTTATGGTCCTTGTTGATTATATTTCTGTTTTGTTACATAATCTTGTCCATTTTCTTAATTTGTAATGATGACATAGTTTTGTTAATAAATGTTGTCCACAACTTTCGTATGTATAGCAAATACAAAATATGTTTCAACTTACGTAATTTTTTTTGTGTTGGTCAAATAAATATTTAGAAAAAGATTAATCAAAAGCAAAGTCAATTTTTACTTTGCCATCATTACATCAGGTCTCGTTTCTGACGCCATCGTTTTCTCTTCAAAACAGAAGAGAAGGGCAATTTCGTCACACCGTGTCCTCTCTACCACACAAATATGGTAGTTTAGAAAAGATTTTGAGAAAGTGGTAGATTCAGTAAGGGACCCACCAAAATGTGGTAGAAAGGAAAATAATCCCTTTTTGAAAAGGGGTATTGAAAAATGAGCATTTTTGTGAGTCTCCCTAGTTTTTATTATTTATACTGAATTATTGAATTTGGTTAGATAGTTCGCTTTAATCGAATTTGGAGACTAGTACTCAGTGGCGGATCCAGAAGTTATTTTTATCTGGGGCACTATTAAATCTGGGCATAAAAACCGAAATACAATAACCGATCTGAACCGATTTAAAAAATCCGGTTTTAAAACCGAACCAAATATTCATAAAACTCGAATAAATTCTAAATGTTTCTACCAGAATTACGTGAACCAAACCGAATATTATACTTGAAAACCCGAGATAAATTTATATATCTAAAAATATTAGTTATATTTACTTCTAATTTTATAACAAAACTATTAAATTAACAAAAATATCCAAAATAACCTAGATATCCAAAAATCATAATTTATATTTGCCAAAATTATACAATTGTTTGCAAAATTTAATTAAAGTTGAACAATTTTGTAGGCTTTTTTTTTTAAACCGATCAAAATCCGACACGTGCCGAACTGAATAGTTATAAAATTCGACCGGATAATAAACTCTCATACCCGAACTATCCAAATTTAAAAAACTCCGAAACGAAACCTGAAAGTACAAACCTAGACACAACCTTAATGAATGTGATAAATTTCTAGAAATTATTTTTACATAGAGCATAACCTAATAAATTTGAAAATTACAAATCCTAACTACAAGTGACATAAGCTGAGAAAATGAGTGATGTTCAAAAAATAAAAAATTTTTTGAGAAAATAAGTATGGGGCACGTGCCCCACCTCTAGTATACCTACGTCCGCCCCTGCTAGTAATTGATTACGGTACTAAAATTTGAACACATCACGTGAATACTACAATATCTCCTATTACACTGGAATTTAAATTAATGAAAGGATATCGGGACGAAGAAGGTATGACATAGCGTATGTGTTCGATTATTAGTGAACCACATCGACTATTAGAGCACCACAACTTAAGCTAAAAGTGTTTTAGTTGAAACCGATAATATAAAAAAGAGAATATATATTACAAAGGGAGATCCAATTACGGTATTCGGGCGGTTCCAAACATGAGATATGGTTCCTCGTTAATGATGTAACAATTACCATGTTGGTTACCTAATTAACTGAATCACAAATTGCAAATTATCGGACAAATGGACATGGTTTCTTCGATTGACTGGTCACTTGTATGACACATCTTTTTAAAAAATTCCACCTCAATAAGCACTATAAGCCTGTTTCATTTGCGATGGAAGAAAATAAAACAAAACACATCAATCGGAAGTCACTCGACTCTGGCAGACCGACCTGGTTTATCCAATAAATACTCATATTTATCATTCTTTTTTTTTGTTTTGATAACTATATTTATGATTGTTTATAGAAATGCCAACATATTTCGAAGAATCTATATTATATGATTATGACGACTTATACATGATGCGTAAGTCACTCGACTCTGGAAGACCGACCTGTTCTCCGGGATGCTCTTCTGCTAATAACAATTATGAAATCTTCTGAGCTTTCTTGAAACGAGAAGAAGTCTACATTGCAAGGAAATGTCAGCATCCTTGTCATTGTCCAATGAACATCTCTCGGGCTCAGCTAACCCAGAGACTGATTCCTTGTTGGTGTAGCAAACAAGGAATCAGTCTCTGGGTTTGTGATATATGTCAAATATGTAATTACCCGAGAAGACAGAAAAAAAAAAGAAAGAAAGAAGAAAAAGGTGAGAAAGCTTAAGAACTTGCAAGGTCAACAAGGAACTTTAAGAAGAAGAAAAAAGAGAAGAAAAAGCAATGGCCTTGTGAGAAATTTTAGACTGGAAAGGGTAAAACTGACGTTCCTCAAAGATTCACAAACAAAACTTGGATACAGGGCAAAATAAAGAAGAGAGCTAAATTATGAATTAGAAACTTTACCTGTTTCTGCAGCCTTTCATCTTCTTCCAGCTTTATCTTCTTCTGCAATAACCAATCGTTAAAGAAAATTCTTGAGAATTACGATACCTTCAATAAAAGGAGAGAAAAAGAAGAAGAAAGTCAAGTAATATATATTTCCCCCCTATTTCACCTTTTGCTCCAGCACAATGGGTAGGACAACCTTAAGGTGACTTTCAAGAGCTAGCAGTTCGGTGAAGCTGACACTGTCGTCCTTACCAGTCATTCTCCTGGAATTATGAAAGAAAAGCACATGAACCAGAAGAAATAATTGAACAAGAAAGTGGGAAACGCATGCAGGCAGGCAGGCATACTTGATCAAAAGCCGTAATCTCTCGACTTCTTTCCGCAGCTGCAAGAAGAGAAGTTGGATGTAAGCAAGAACATAGGTATAAAACACAAAGAGATAGATAGATGAGTATATATATATATATATATATATATACATACCACTGCTTCATTGTCTTGCTCCTGCAGCTTATCTTCAGAGCTGCATCCATATCTGGAAAAGGTCAAGGGCTTTAGGTTTAACTGTTTGCTAAATACTCTGATTCAATCATATCATCAGATTGAGAGTCCAAGATCCAACGAAGCAGAGTAAATAGCTAATCAAGAAACCTAAGAAGCAGATTTTGTGATGGTTCCCATATCTCAAATGACCTAAAGACCTAAATCAACAATAAAACCCTAGAGAATCGAACCCTTGTTCGTCAAGTCTGTCTGTGTGAGAATTACCTGCTACTGGAGAATTCACAGAAACTGCAGGGCACTCCTCTAGTATTGGTCTTTGGATCTTTGAGCTTTATTGAAGCATTTGGTGATGGAACATGATGCTCATCATCCAATGAACATCTCTCCTGCTCAGTTCCCGGAACCTCTCTTAACAGAGATCTGCGCTTCTTAGTGATTTGTTCCCTTGTTGGTGCATACATATGCTCCAGCAAATCCTGCAATCCATTTACTATCTTAAGTTCAAGTAAGCCCAGCTCGCCCTGATTCATACCGTCAAGCTGTCTACCGTTCATTCTCCTGTCAGATTCAAGAAAGAAAAAAAAACCATCAGAAACAAAGTGAAACTGACATCGACTCTGAAGAGAGCAACAAGTGGGATGGCGAGTCATTACTCCTTCAACAGCCATAATCTCTCGTATTCAATCATCATGGTTTCAGCATTTCGTCTCTCGAATTCTCGCTGAAGTTTCGACTGCAAAAAGAGATGCACATTTATAACAACACAATGTGGGGCAAAGAGAGAGGCAGGACTGTGAATGAATATAATATACATACCAGCCGCGGCGGTGCTGGTGCTTCATCATCTTGTCTCTCCCCCGTGCTGTACATATACCAAGACCCACCAAATCAGGCTTTAGTTTTGCACAGTCAGTAATGTGCACCAGACAACTACAACTTAGAACCAAAAAGTTCTTCCAATTAAGCTAGGAAGGAGGAGACTACCTGCTGGTAGAGAATTTGCAGGGAACAGTAACCTCTATCCCCACACGATCATCGCCCTTCCTCTACAAAAATGTAAGAAAGCTTCAAAGTTGGAAGATATTACAAGAACAACATGAACAGCAGGTCCTCGGAGATTCACAAACAGCAGTAATTTTACCCGTATAAGCATCCATTCATCATCTTTAAGCAGCTTTATCTTCTTCTGTAACAGTTGTAAAAAAAGAAAAAGATGTTTATTTAACACTTTGAATGATAGAAGAAAGAAGTAAGATGCATTATTTCTTATATATATTCCCCCAATTTTAAAATTTGTTTACTCACCCTTCGGTCCTTCACAATGAGCAAGGCAGTCTTTAAATGGCTTTCAAGTAATAGAAGCTCGGGGAAAGTCAGACCGTCGAGATCCTTACAAGTCATTCTCCTTGGGAATAATATAAAGGATAACTCATAAGAATCACAAAGGAAGTGAGGAGAGGGGAAAAAAAAAACAGATTACTTTCAGAACAAGAAATGGGAAATGTTAATGAGTTAGACCTGGTCAAAAGCCGTAATCTCTTGAGTTTCTCCATAGACTAGAGAAGAAGTGTGAAAAAACGATATGTGAGCAAAACCAAAGAAACAGAAATAAGAGATCAAAGTCCATATAAGATATACATTACCACTGCTTCGTGATCTCGTTCGTGTGGCCTTTGTTCATCATATCTAGAAAGAGTTTGCAAACACAGAAAACAGTTGTTTAGGTGACTACAAGAAAAAGAAAAAAACGAAACGAAGAATCAAAAAAGATCTTGCGCGATGGTTAGGGTTTATAACTCATATATAAACAACGGGTTCCATTTATCTCAATGACCTAGGAACTAGAAAATACTGTATAACCCTTTCCGCAAGAATCGAAGCTAATAATAATAATTAATTCAGCGACTTTACCTAATGGTGCTGCTGGAGAATCCGCAATAATCGCAGAGCTCTCTCACCTTCTTCTTCTTCTTCGTCAAATCTCTTCGCCTCCCCTTCAACTTCATCTTAATCTTTCCTCTCCCCATTATCGACATCTCTAATCGGATCGACGAAACCCAAAGTTAATATCTGATACAAGAAAAAGCAACTCTTGTGTTGTGTAATGTAGAGAGAGAGAGATGGTTATCCAAGGCAAACCTTAATTATTATTTCCAAATTTATTATGGAAAACGGAAATAGGAAAAAGTTACATTACACTCCCTTCCAATTTTGTTTTTCCATTTTTATTTAACATATGTTTTGTAAAAATAAATAAAAGGAAATTCTATGTTTGGCCTTTTTTATTCATCGGAAATTGAGTTACATTATTTTCTTTGTCCTTTGCATTTGAGTTAGAGACATTGCTGACTATGAAATGTCTAGTACAATTGCTGACTATTTTTTTTTTTTCATAAGGATATATATTACTAGCTAATTGAATCACGATGCTAGAACAAACAATCAAATTCATTCTCAAGACAAAGGAGCACATAATTTAGACATTAATTGAATTTCCATGCATGCATGATCTTAAATCCTTAATCTCTCTATTATTTGATTTATTTCTAATTAAGCTCGATTTTCTTTTGCAATTAAGAAATTTACAAGTATTTGAAACAAAAGGTTGGTCTTAGAATCTTCATTTTATTTTCAACAGCTTTTGGTTCGTGAATTGAATTCTTTTAATCTAAGTATGATCCAAATTAAACACCTAAAATGAACACAAATAGACCTAGAATGCTACAAATTCCATGAAAGAACATTGTCCCTTGTAAATTCATAGGGTGGACTATCCGGATCTAGGATTATAGGATCATCTTTGCCTTATTCATCATATGAAAAGCTCTCTTTCGGCGCAATTTTGTGGCCAACTTCTTCACCGGTTCTCCATAGTATGTCTCTGCCTAAAACCTGATCAATCGGAAGTCGCTCGACTCTGACAGAGCGATCTGGTCCTAGGCAAGCTCTTCCGTTGATAACGATTGTGGAATCTTCTCAACTTTCTTGAAACGAGAAGAAGTCTAATTTGCAAGAAAGTGTCATCATCTTTTTCATTGTCCGATGAATATCTCTCGTGTTCAGCTAGCCTCGAGACTGATTCCTTCTTGTTGTGGTAAGGTAAACAAAGTAAGAAACGATTAGAATAGAAGAAACGGTTTCGATTAACTACTACTTAGAACACTGATAAATCTATACCTCTTCGCGCTCCCTTGCTGCAATTTGTTCCCTTCTTGGTCTCATCATTTGGTCATCCAAATCCAACAAAGCCCGTGATATCTGACAGTAAAGTGAGACCAGTTGGGAGGATGACATACCCTCGAGCTCTCTACCGTTCATTCTCCTGTGAGGATGGAAAAAAAACAAAACCAAATTGAAAAGCTGAGAGTTTTGCAGAGCAAGAAGAGGGAAATGCTCAAGAGTTATATTACTCGTTAAAAAGCCACAATCTCTCGAACTCGCTCTGAAATGATTCAGAGTTTCTTCTCTCGAAATTACTCTTCCTTTTCAGCTGCAAGAACAGGAGCATTTTACATACACAAGCTGAGGCTATAAAAGAGACAGGACAAGAAGAGAGTGTACACAGACCAGCATTGCTCCATCATCTTGTTTCTCCAGTCTTTTTTCAGAGCTGAATATGTTCATAATAAATGCAGAGCAAGTCAGGTTTTAGACTTACACAATAAACAAAAAGCGAGATATCCTAACTTGCTATTCTGCACCAAGACAGCTACAACTTAGAAACCAAGTGATATCTCTCAGGATAAAGGATTCAAGTCCTACTGTCGAGTCCAATACAAGTAACAAGCAAAGAAAACGACAAAATCAAAATTGATATTGGTTCACAACTCATTAAAAAAAAAAAAAAAAAACAGGTTTCACTTTCATATACGGTTCACACAAGCACTACTAATTCAAGTATTATTCAACAAAAGAAACTTATCTGCATAGAGGTACAAATTGTTCTAACCAAACCCGACAAATAAGTTCATTTTTTAGCTAGGAGAATACCTGTTCGTAGAGACCAAAACCCCTCTCCTCGTACCATCACTCTCATTCTCAGCTTCCCTGTTCTGCAAAATTGTGAAGATGTAAGAAAGCTTCAAACATAGTATATATTGCAAGAACAACAAAAGTAAAATAGAAAACATTGTCTTCTTGCTCGTAAATAAAATAAGACTTGAAAGGGTAAAACTGAGGGATTTTTACAGAATGAGACACTAGCAAATTTTATGAATAAAAAAACTTTACCTGTTTGCGCAGTCTTTCATCTTCTTCTAGCTTTATCTTATTCTGCATTAGTTAAAACAAGATTGTTGAGAATTACAACATCGAAGTGAGTCGGAGTTCATTCTTCCCTATCCCCCGTAAATGAAGTTTCCTCACCTTTTGGTCCAACACAATGCGCTTAACATCCTTAAGATGGCTTTCAAGTGCTTGCAGCTCGGTGAAATTTGCATCGTCGTCTCTTCCAGTCATCCTCCTGAGAGTATGAAAGAAAAGTCAAAGTCATACAAACCAAAATGAATCAGAAGAACAAGAAAGTAGTAAATGTAAACTGAGGCATATATACATACTTGATCAAAAACCGTAATCTCTCCACTTTTTCCCGCAGCTGCAAGAAGAGGAGAAGTGGAATAAAAACAAGAAAAAAGATAGAAATATGAAGAGACAGATGGAAATTCATTAGATGATATAAATTTTGTTGCAAAAAGAGGACATAAAGGAATTGTATACACCACATTGTCTTGTTCCTGAAGACTTTGTTCAGAGTCACATCCGTATCTGGAAAAAGGTCAAGGCTCTTTTTTAGCTCAAAGAGATACTATTGGCTAAATGATTGATCAAAGCATTCTCCTTTTTAATCATAATCATGTTGCAGAGGACAGCGAAGCCCAGTAACTAGATAGATAATCAATAATAATCTAAAGATGCAGATTTGGGGATGGTTTCCATATTCCAATTACCACAGACTAATTCAATAGCTGAAACCTACCTGCTGCTGGAGAACTCGCAGAAGTTGCACCCCACTCTCATCTTCTTCGTCAAATCTGTTCGCTCAGAGAGATTCTTTTCCAAAAAAGGAAATAAAGAGCTTTATTTGGGCTGCGTTTATAAGAAGATTTTATGTACATAAAAAAGCGTTTATTTGGGCTGCGTTTTAAGGCCTATTTAGAACCCTATAAATCCGGTTTCGACCTTGACGGACATCAAATGAACACAAATAGACCTAGCTAGAATGCTACAAGGACGACACTCTAGAACAACTAAGGTTCAACATGAGCCAGTTGATGACGTATATTCAATCAACCTCCACATGATGACTGGCTAAGTGTTGTGACCAGAATGGAAACTTCATTCACAAGGTGACCATGGCAATAGCTAGCAGCTTTCAATGCTATACATACCTTACTTTGACTGGATGGATCCATAGCTTCTCACTCCAGAAGCATCCTCATCCCCTTCATCCCTCCTGGAAATCCATTAGCCGGACAAACCATTTCAGCTTCAGTCATCTATACATGCACACCAGAGGAAACTCAACTACTTCAGGTTTCTATAAAGCTGATTGGTATATCCTAGGGTCTTTTCTAATCCAGTGATGCCTACCTCAACCAACTCAACCATTCTCACGTTGATCCCCAAATCAACCAACTCAACTCAAACCTTCAAAATTCATCTTTAAACTAGGAATTGGTGTTACGTGCTAAATAAATCCTCAAAGTAATAGAAATGAGAGTGCTTGAGTGCGAATGAAACATTCAAGTTAGATATATGCTTCCCTTCTTTTTTGAATGTTTTTCCAAAACTTACTTTTGTTGAATCTTGAACCATCGATCCAAAATTGGACCAAATGGTTGAACTTGTGTAAATAACATTATACGATTCAGAATATAAAACTATTCACATATGCAAAAGAATAAACAAAATGCGATTATGCGAACATGTCATTCCTACATAAGATTGCGAAAGGAAAACAGTAATACTTAAAAGTCAAACTAAAGAGACTCATAGTCCGAAAGTATAGAAGGGAGGAGACGATAAAAGATAAAATTATGTCAAAGTAAATATTAGGGAGGGTAAATAAAGAGAAGAAATCAATCGAAAGAAGCAGCTACATGAGTCTAGCATAGCATTGCATTTTGTTCCATTCTTGGTCAGGTCATATATGATGATGCTCATGCACTCCACGTAATCCTTGGTATATCTGACTTATAAGTAAATGCAGCTCGGAGAAAGTCATACCTGTCAGCTTTCTACCATTCATTCTCCTGTAAGGATTCAAAGAAACCCATAAGAACCAAAGTGAAAAACATTATTTTGCAGAGCAACAAGTGTGAAATGTCATTACTCCTTCAACAGCCATAATCTCTCGAATTCGCTGTGCATGGATTCAGCTTTTCGTTTCTCGAATTCTATCTGCGTTCGCGACTGCAATAACAATGAGAGGCAAGATAAGAGACATGACCGCAGGGTGAATATACATCTATATGTATATATAGGTACCAGTGGTGGTGATCCATCATCCTGTTTCTGTTGTCTCTCTCCGGAGCTGTTATATATCCAATCATATACCCACAACAAGTCAGGCTTTACTTTTGCACAATTGGTTCAGTAATCAAAAAAGTAAGACAACATAATGTGTTTTTCTGCACAACCTTAGAACCTAAGTGATCTCTCTCATATTCTAAAACATCAAGGACTCAACTCCTCCAATTTAACAGAACAAAGAAACGAGAAGACTGGATTCTGCAATAAAAGAACTGATTCCATATCTTTTTTCTATTGCCCAAGTACTGATTCAACAAAAGAAACCCAAGACAATCGAACCAACCCTTTGGACATAGATAGATACAAATTGTTATAACCAAACCCAACCAAAATTTTCCTTTTTATTACCCGCGGTTAGAGGATCTGCAAGGAACCAAAACCCTTGTCCTCGGACCTTCATTCTCATCCCCTGCTTCCTTCTTCAGCAAAAAAGAGCAGGGGTTCCCTATTAATGTCAAATAAAATATCTAAATCCCGGAGAAGATAAGAAAACTAATTGGGAAAAAATGTAAGAAAGCTTCAAACATTGAAATAACTACAAGATCAAACATGCTGATTTCTCCCTCATAAATTCACAAATAAATCTTGTTGAGCGACACTGAGGTAATGTACTGTTTAAAATCTTTACCTGTTGGCGCAGCCTTTCAGCCTTTTCCAGCTTTATTTTGTTCTGTAATAATGTAAACAAGATTTTTCACTACTAATAGGAGAAAGAAGAAATCTCATCTGTTTACTCGTATAAATTTGTGTATTAACCTTTTGGTTAGTCACAATGACCAAGACATCGTTTAGATGGTCTCTAAGTAATTGCAGCTCCGCGAAACTCAAACCGTCGAGATCCTTACCAGTCAATCTCCTGGGAATATAAAGGGGAGCTCATATGAACAGCAGTGGAAAGAAACAGAGAAACTTGAGAGCAAGAAACGGTTACATACCTGGTCAAAAGCCGTAATCTCTTGAGTTCGCTCTCCATAGACTAGGCAAGTGGTGTAAGAACATTATGTGAGGCAAAACAGAGAGATAAAAAGTTGAAAACGAAATTTGTGTATGTATATACATACCAGTGCATCATGTTCTTGTTTGTGTGGTCTTAGTTCATATCTGGAAAGAGATTGCAAACCCAGAAGAAGTCAGGGTTTAGGTTAAACGGTTGGTTTGATGAGTAATAGTGTTGCAGAAGAGAATCATGAACTAACAGATCAAAACTTAGAAGCTAGAGCTAGAGGATCTCTATAGATTTATCTCAGCTTAGAATTAAAACTAAAAAAAACGGGGTTCCATATCAATTACCTAAGAGCTAATTCAACAACAAAACCCTAGAAAGTAGAACCCTTGTTCGTCAAATGTTAATGTGAGATATACCTGCGGCTGCTGGATAATCCGCAGAAATCGCTTGGTCAAATCTCTTCGCCTCCTCTTAAGCTTCAGCTTCTTCAGCTTCATCTTCATCCTTACCCTCTCTCTCCCCATATCTCTGTGTAATCGGATCGAACTAAACCCAGGACAAAAACCAAAAAAAAGTGTTTTAAGGAAAAGGCTGAGAAAGAGTGGGCGATTGCGAGATTCTTCCAACTTTATTTATGGCTTTTGTGTTTAATTACCTGGTATTTGATGCTTAGTCCATCGCAGCCTTTGAATATTTCAAAGAGAAACAGAGATTGTACCAAAGAATCCAATGCCAAAAACATAATACATATCATCAAACAACAACCACCAGTTTCAGTATTGTTGTGAAATCCATTTTATTCATAATATGTTTTAAACGGTAGACAAAAAATCGTTTTTGATCAAACGTTGTGTACATATTTTAAGCCAAAATCCAAATTTCTCTGTGATAATAGAAAGCAGAAAGAGATAAGAAAACATCAAACATCAATCAAAATAAACATATATAGATCCAACTAGAGGCCGTAAAGCCAAAGACATTACATACTAATCAGTCATTAACTACTTAATTTTCAACGACCCATGAAGACATTAAACCAGCAAACGGAGACATATTAGGGCTGCTCCATACGCTTCTCCAGCTCTTCCCTCGCCCTAAGCACCACATTTTTCAACAGCTCTTTCAGTTCACGCAGCTCCTCCGTACTCATGTTTTTAAGATCTGACTTCACAGCAGCTAGACTTTCAACAAATTCCTTGAACCCATTTGGTTTCTTTGAACCGCCGTTCCCAGATGCATTCATGCTACCATAATTAATAGGTCAAAAAAGGTTAAAACAAAAGCATATAAGAACATTTCTAGGGTTCTATGTTTACCTCGATGCCGCCATCGTCCTCTTGGTAGTTAGGGTTTTCACTCTTCTGGCCAGCAAAGTGAGAGACGAAGAAACCTTTTTTATAGTTATTTATTATTGGGCCACTCAGCCTCTCTATCTTGGGCTATACATTTCATCCGATTGTAATAAACAGATGACGACAAAGTCCACACTTGTTTATCAATTTCAAAATTTTGTCAGTCAATAAATTTTTTTTTTTTTTTTTGTCATCTCATAAATATTTTCTTTATTTATACAGTATCCAATATTTTTTTAGGGTGTGCTTCAAAATTCCCTACAATATTTAAAAGAAATTGATTTATTATCTTAAAGAATAATAAGTTTTTTCCTTGATAAAAAAAATGAATTTAATTGTCATTCAACTTTACAAAAGAAAAACGTAACACTTTCTTCTGCTTCTTAATCTTCTCTATGTAACAAGTAATCTTCTCTAAATCTCCTCCTAATGGAGAAATCATAGGAACGAGTTAACGTTTCTCTGAATCTTCTCAAGTCAAGCTTCACGTTTTGTCCTTGTAGATATATTTTCTTCGTATATTCCCATCCTTTATCGTTGAGACTATCCGGATCTCGGATTATAGGATCATCTTTCCCATATTCTTCATATAAAGAGCTCTCTTTCGGCGCAATCTTGTATCCAATGTACTTCAATCCTAGCTTCTTCGCCGGTTCTCCATAGTATGTCTCTGCCGCCCAATCGGTCCCTAACGGGATGATCTGAATGAATACGGTTTTCGGTTTTAAGAAAAGGAAATGAGTCATTGCTGCTCCATGTACACCGATCATTACATCGCTCGTGTTCAACGAACGATAAATCTTAGCCATTTCCGTTGTTTTTTGTGGTCTTAGAACCTCAACATTGAATCCTGTTTCCTCTGCTAGCTCCACGAGAAGATTCTCGTTCAATATCGCCCTCGATGATCCGTTTCTTGATAGAATCACCAGTTTTGGCTTCTTCTTGAAATCGAGTGCGGTCACATTCGCCTCTGTTTCCTCCTGAATCAAGCTTTGGATACGATGCGAATAACCCCGATCCAAAACGTTTCTGAAATCAACAATGGTTTGATTCCCAATGACCAGTGAAGAATTCACAGTTAACTCATCGTGAATACGTAATCCAACGGTTGCTTCTTTGAAACAATGTGTTCTCGCATCTCCACTGAAATCAACCAGAGGATAATCCGAGAGCTGCGAAACGATATCTCCATACTTCATCTCCCACCAATCATGATACTCGACGATCACAAACACAACTTTTTTGTTGTAATGCTGTGAAGTTATAAACAAAGGGATAATCCCGTCGTTAAACTCGTGGTATACGTTACCGGTGTATCCACCAGTGGAGAAGAACACAGCAGGAACATCGTGGTACACATCGCAGACACGATCAGAAGAACTATTCGAATCTTTGGTGATAAGGTTGAGTTCTTGAACTGTGTCCATCACACTAGTCTCCCATTTTCTAGTGTAAGGTTTGATCTTTTCCGGTTTTGTGTTGTTCTTGGTGGAGGAGGTGAAGAGGAAGATTGAGGAAGAAGCAGAGTTTGTACGAATATCACCTTTCATTTCACATATATCAGATCTCAAACCGGTTCTGTCACAACAAATGGTTCCTGCGTACAAAAACAAGAATCGATAACCGTCAGTTTTTAGCAGATTACACAAACTCTGTTTCTAAAAGATGAAGCGATATCAAAACTCTGTTTTGATCAGGAGTTGGTAAAAAGTGAAATAAAAAGACTAACCATTGGAGATTTCTGAGCAGAGAGGGGTAATAAATGGCTCATAAGAGCTAAGACCTTCGATTTCTCTGCGAAACGAATCTGGAGAAGAGTAAAAAACAGAGAGATAAGTGATACATCAAAAAAAGAAGAAAAGTTAAGATTGTGTGGGAGAAAGAGAAATAGTAGTACCTAGGAGGGAGAGAGTAGAGAAGCCGAAGAGGTAATAAGGAGACATGACGAAACAGCAAGAGAGGATAGAGAGAAAGAGAAGGCAGCGAAACTTTTGTTTAGCTCTCTTAGAGTAGCAACCACCTCCACCACTTTCCTCTGCTGAAACTCTAAACTTTTCCTCTTTTCTTCCATGGTGGATGATTAATCTCTGGTACTGCACCATCTTCTGAAACGTAAGTTTCGATTTTGATCGATCTTGGTGATTTGGGTGAGGTTTCAAGCACAAAACGGAGAGAAAATTCAGCGGTAAAGGAAACTACACAAACACAGAGAAATACTTTTCTTGGGGACAAAGGAGGGGAGAGATAAGATGGGTGACTGAGGATATAAAGAGACTTTTTGATACACACGCATATATACATACAACTATATTAAACGAGTGAAACGATGAAAGGGATCAATTAGATTCCTTTTTAAAAAATACTAGTAATGTTCTTTTTTTCTAATATTTGGATTTTGGGGTTTAGTGGACTTTCCTCTTAAGTTTTTCGGTAATAACACGGAAACAACAGAGAGGAGACGGCTGTCAACTTAAGTTGTGTTTGGTCAAAGTCAAAGAAATTAGCCTTTTCTCTTTTTTCTTCCAAGAATTAGATAGACCTCTCAGTTTGATTGTTATCTAAATTTTTTTTTATATGAATTTAATTTTAATAGAATTTTCTTTGTGATGTTACAAATTGGCCTAAATTCAGGTTTGGTATTCTCAAAATTCATTTTAATTACAATTACAAGTTTGGTGGACCATTATCAGTTTGAAATAAAAAAAAAGTTTCACAGAGAGAGGGGTGAACCCAGAAAACGACGTAGCATTGTTGTGGGGCTAAAACGGCGTGAAGTTCAAAAGAGGTTGATGTATATTCTTTTTTTGTGGCATGTGCATGACGCTGAACATCTGCTTTGACAACGGATTTCGCTTAATATTTTAGCTATCCTCGACCACTTTGCTTTACCAAATTCAACTAATTTTGTTATTTTAATTACTTTTTTAAAATTTAGGTCCATCGATCGAGTTGTATCGTTGCCAATTATTAACCTATAAAAATGAAGGAAAAAGAAAAAGAGTATTTAAATCCCTTCCAAGTTCCAACGAATTTTACAATCTCTTACGATATAGTATTATTATTTGCTCCAGCATTTTCTTTAATGCCTGAAAATTTTCGGATGATGAATTTGTTTATGTCTATATATCGAGAATAATCCAATGTTTAACGCTATTTTATTAGTCGACTACCGCCTAACAGCTAAACTTAATAATTGAATTTAAGTGTAATTGATAAAAGCAACACAAGCCAAGTTGCTAATTGGTTTCATACTTTCATAATTTCATTTATGGCGTCTGGTGTCCAACGTGTATATAGGTCATGCCTAGAGTTTTGGTGGAATAAGGCAAAAAATAAAATAAAGATATTTTAGACATTTTTGTGATAAAATGAGTGATAACTTATAATTATATTTAATATATTATTTTCAATTAAATATATATAATTAACAATGTTTTTAGAGAAATTGTTAAAAATGCCTTTTTCAATACCCCTTTTCAAAAATGCCCTCTTTGAGAGTCCGAGAGTCCATTTTTAAGTTTGCCCTCTTTTAATTTTTAATGACCATTTTACCCTTATTTGAAACAAAATTAGTTTACCCTTATTTGAAACAA